GTGATTATGAATTGGCTATCAGTGCTTTGACCGCCCTAGTAGATGCTTTGTCTTAAAGAATTAACACTTGGGGTATTAATATTTTTTAAGTCCTTTAGTGATATGCGACTTTGTGAAGATCAACATTTAAGTGATTATTGTCCAATCTATTATGAATCAAAACAATTTAATGAAAACTTCAATGGGTAGCAAAACAATTAATATTCCGATACTTACAACTCAGGGTGGAATCACTCAAATTTTTCACGGACTAATGAACAGGGTCTTACGTATTCATCATAGCCTATTTTCTATAATGATTTTCAATCACAAGTTATAGCCCCTATACTTGTAAAGAAGTCAGCTTTGGATGAAACGTTTATGCAATACATGTCAAATATGGATGTAGTCATTCAAAGTCAAAATATTTAAAGGTGAAAGGTTTAAAATTGGAAATAAATAAAAAAGGCTTAGTCTTAATATTTCTCAGTGAAGTTGCTTGACTTTAAATGACTACATTCATATTTGCCGTGTATTGCATAAACATTTTTTTCGGAGTTGGCTTATTCTTAGGTATAAGGGTTTTAATTTGTGACTAAAAATCATGATGAAAAACAGGCTGTGATGAATATTTAGGACCTTAATTATTACTCCATAAAAAATTTGGATAATTTCATCATGACTTGTAACTATTGGAGTGTGAATTGTGTTGCTGCCCATTGAAGTTTCTATCAAATTGCATTGATTCATAATAGATTGGACAACAATTACTTGGATGTCGATTTCCACAAAGTTCGAATGTCACAAAAGGACTCTAAAAAACATTAACACCTCAAGTGTCAATTCTTTGAGACAAAGCATCTACTTGGACGATCAAAGTACTAATAGACAATTCATAATCACTCGTAACACTCTTAAGCTCAAATTATTCAGATAGCCACTGATAATTATAATAATTTATCACCTTAGTCAAAAGTATGTGAAAACAGAATAAAAAATAATTTGAATTAAGACTAAATTTGCTTGGTATTAGTATCAGTAAAAATTTTAAAATATGACTTCAAAAACTTGTTAGTTAAAATTCTATCTACGTAAGTACACGTATCAAATAAATAATATATTGGTAAGTAGAATATCGATCTTATAGAAATTTTATCTAGAATATTACGAAATACTAAAATTAAAACAATATAGTGTTATTCAAACAATCAAAAATTTAAAAACCAATTAAACTAAAAATTAATCAACTAAAACTAAAACTAAAACTAAACTAATTAATACAAATAAACAAAGCAAAAAGATAATTGGCTAAAAATAAAATTAGAAAAGCCTAGTATTACAATGTCCCTCACATTTCTCTTAAATCTTACCTATCTCTTAACGTATTCCAATAGGTTGAATTGCTAACCTAGAGTCATCAATTATTTATAATGCTCTCCTCAGTCTCTTATAAAAATACTTATTTTAACCTTATTTTAACCAAAACATTATATTTCTATGTGAATTTAAATTAAAATAGATTAATTAAGTTTATATTCTAATACTAGTTACATATGACATATAGGTATACTCTTATTCTATACACAAATCAATTTATTCATTTAATTAAATAAATATGATCATATGATATTCCAATTTTGGTCTACACTAAACTCTCTTTTTCAAGTTTGTTTAGACTTTTAAATCAATTTAATTGGTGATTAAGCAATTAAAAGCATTAAGAGCAAATTGAAATAAATAATTTAATCCCATTAAAAATAAGCTAAAAATATATTAAAAATTTAAATTATATGTGAGTTTAATTGTAATCCTAGAAAAATAAAATTATCTAGATATAATTGCAAAAGTAAAAAAAAACATATGAAGTTTAGCCATCAAGAGTAATAAAAAATAATAAAAGCTAAAGACGAAGAAAATAAATAATTTTGCAACCTTGATCTTCAATGTGT